CCCAGGCCACGCTGGACGTAGCAGCCCCAGGCCACGCTGGACGTAGCAGCCCCAGGCCACGCTGGACGTTGCAGCCCCAGGCCACGCTGGACGTAGCAGCCCTTTTAAGAAATCATTTTTGATTAATTTATATCTAAGACCTCCTTTTCTATGTCCAATTCGTGTTTAATTAAATTAAGAACTACATGTATTAAACGCATAGGTAGTTACATAATCATTGTAATTACTAACTGCAGGATTATGACTTGAATGCAAATTCACCTAACACTGAAAAGCAATACAGTATTAATCAATGAAATTATGTTAAAGGCCATAGAAATCTCATATATTACTTCTGCCAACTCCTGTGATGATCTTATTTATGGTATTAAATGTATTAATCTAGAATCTCAGATTGCCGAGGGGTTGAGATCATCAAGATCGGTGCAGCAAGTTGAGGGTTCAAAACCCACAACTGTTGGCAATTTTCTGTTTGAACATGGCAGGCCAACCTGGCTTAATCAATGCCGACACCACTTTATTATATTATGATCTTATATTTCATTATTTAATATTACTTGACATTATTTTATATTACATTTATTTATATGATTAGACTCGAGGACCAGCCAAGGACTGCCCATTTGTCGAGTGCCATCTTGATCTATAGTTTCAAGTGTCTTAGCCGGTAGATCAAAAACATATATAATATAATATCAATATAAACGTGGTGTTAAGATGCAATGATAATTAATGAAAGATTGTAGCCATTAAAACATGAAGATTGAGTTACTCGTGTAAAAGAAAGTAAACTTCTACTTCACAAATTTTCCTTTGTGGTTTTACCTAAAAAATCCTTTTTTTGTCCTAAAAATGTCGAAACATACGCACTGTTTTTTCAATATTGCTTCTTAGTCTAGAAATTTAGTATACATTTTCGTACAATTTTTGATGACAATAACTGCCCTCTTCCCAATTTGAGAAAGCAAACCGGTACCAATGAAAGAATTTAGCTTTTACTATATAGTTTCTTGTTATTGAATAAAATTTTTAAATAAAGATGTTACTACCATCTATAAGTGATATGTTACCAACACCTTTTGCGGAGAAACAGCCCCAGATCATGATGTTGCCACCACCAAACTTTACAAGATGGTAGAGATGATCTTGCCTTTGGTTGGTGTGGTGCCCACTGCCCTGAGTCCTGCAATGATTGTGTTTCCAGGGAATTCAAGTGCATCTGTGTGCTTTTTTTTGCTCTAATTTCCATGCAGAAAATGTTGTATGTATTTCCTTTCATTCTGATTGAGGTAATTTCCATTCAAAATGTGGCAGAATTTTCCAAAAAGAGCTATCAGCTGTATTAATAATAGTCTATTACCAAACATGTTGGTGCAATGGTGTCAAAGATGATTTTTAAAAATCACAGGCAAAAATTAGCTTTTTTTCATAATTTTAACTAGCGGAATCTGGCAAGAGCCATAGCAGCACAGGAATGGATGAATTAGACTTCAAGTTTTTTTTGAGCATTTTAAAATTATTTATTAGTGGCTTCTATCCAATTTTGGAAATTCAGCATCTGTGGAGGAATGACTGAAATTTGTCAAATATTATTTGGCAACTTTGGCCTATTTAGCCTGCAATTGGCCATAATTTTACAGACTGGAAAATGGAGTAATGGACAATTTTTTTTGCTTGGGCTCAGTTTTAGTATGAAATGTACTTTGGTTGCAATATACCTGCTCGTGCTGTCTTTGTTTATTAAAATATTTACTTTTCAAGCCAGAGCTGGATATCTTGGTTCTCAAGTTTTATATGATTTTACAGTCATGAATCAACTTTTTAGAACTGATGAATCCATCTTGCAACTGCAAGCCAAGAATAAAACTTTCACTGCAACATTTTTCTTTGATTTAATTATATAAGTTTAGATCTGCTCTATCGAACACTTCTATTTAGGAGTTATAAAAATAAATTTAGTATTTTTGAACATTGTAAATTTGTGTCTTGATTGGTACTGTAAAAGGAGCTAGAGACGACTTTTGACTTAGACCGTTGAATGGGTTGACTTGGACCATTGATGGGGTGAATTGGATGTTGGACTATTGTGACATTTAAGAAAAGAAAACCCTAAACTCAAAAACTTCCTCCATTACAAAAATTGTGTTGATGCGTCTTGAAGTACCGTGAGATAACCTATAAATTCAATATAGGAACTGCAATATGCATTAACTATGTGACTATTTATGTATAAAACATTCAAGAATTAACATATCAAAATAAGAATAAATATCAAGCATAATCTAAATAAAAATCTTGTATTTCTAAAACTGGAATAATGTAACTCCAAAATCTTCAACCACAATTGATTAAGCCAGTCTTTGTAAAGCAGCTTTCTTGTTATATATTAGAAATGTAAATACCTGGATTTTTCAAATGGCAAATTTTTCATAATAATCTTTTCTTCTTCAGATAACAAACAAAAGCTAAGAACTAGAAAATATCATGACTTTTCTCAGGATGACTCAGGCAAAGCCATCAAAGCTTGCCATGTTAGCATGTCACTCAGGCATGCCTGTAGTGACTGTAGAACATCTGGTGCAACCATGGCTTAAAAGATTAAAAACATATTATATATTATTCTTTATACATTTAATAAATTATATTATATTATTGGATGCTTATCAAAATTATAGTTCACCAAACTGACAAAGAGTTGCTACTTTGGGACAAGAAAGAAGTGTTGTTTTGTCAAGGACTATTTGCTATCCTGGTAATTTCATGACACAAGTGCTGTTGTTAGTCTTGTAATTTGTGCATTGATAGCCCCAGTATGTATAT